GTTAAAGTGTCCCCGCTTCTGCTTTATGAGCCAGACTCATTTCAGACGATGATAAGTCTGTAGCGGACTCAGATTAATGCCATCGACCTAATGGGCAGTGTTTCCACTGAAAGCTTAAGTTGGCTGTGGTTGTCTTTTCGTAAATTCATTCGTGACTTCCGGTTATGACCTGCACTGATGCGTGTGTCCACCCTGCGTCGTACACCTTCGCCCTCTGCTTATTGAAGGCAGACTTTCCGAGTTAAATACTCTACGCTTTAAAAGTATCCAGTCTGAAACATGTTAGCTTTCCAGAAACGTCTTGTGCTTAGAAGTTAACCAATGCTCTTTATTTCTGCCCCACCCTTTTTAGTCATCATTAATATTGAATCCTCGGGAAAGTGGCCAAGAGACAACCTGGAGGCCTTTTTGCACATGAAGAGGTTGTTTCTTCTTCGGGTGAATGAACTGCTCTGCCCCAAAGGCATTCCCTCGCGTGTAGTCGACAACGGCATGCTCGACATTTTCCTGGTAAGTCTTTCTCCCCTGACGAGGCTTGATTACCGAGTTGCCACTGCACCCTGAGATCGCCATTGTGATCAACGGACGAATGATCGCTGTCGCCATCCCCGTGCCATGCGTTATTAGTTTTATTCTAAATCAGCAGTCAGGTATCTGCTCAGAAAATATCCCTACTTACAACCGGAAGGCTCGGCTCCAACCAACCCGCAGGCGTCCTTTTCAGCCTTAAGTGGAAACGCAGGTGTAGTCGCTCGAGATCATAAACGGGCACAGTAAGCATTAATCTTAACGTATCGTATTCCCCAGCTCAGCGGCTTACGGACACACTAGCATGGTCGATATTTTCCTGGTAAGTCTTCTCCTGACGAGGCAGTTCAGCAAACCAGAATGCGATGAACGATCCGGTTTGAAACTAATACAGAATACAGCAAACTTATTGCTTAGGTCTCGTTCAATCAGTTGTTTGATCCAATTCGATGACTCAGCGGGCAGTCAGTGCTTATCGAAAGAAATGTGCAGTTTAAAGTTGGCCTACCTGTATCATTACGCAGATTGGATCCCCCAAAGACCACACTGTCCCCGTCTTCATTAATAAATTAGTTTATGTATACGCAAGCCCAAAGCGGTGAACGTCATCAGATCAGGATCTGAAGGAAAGGGAATAAACTCGTGTCCTGGATCTTCGGTAGCGGGAAGAGGTGTCATAAACTTTCTCAATCCCTGAATAATTTTAAACCTTATTCGATGTTACACCTACATCCAGAGTTTCCAAACCACAAGTTGTATATTTTCCGTTTAAGGGCAATCTTACTTTAATAGAACTTATTAAGAAAGAGAGACCTTTGGATGCGGTGTCAGACATTGTCCCAAGCCAACCTGTTACAAAGTCGCTCTACCCCAGCCTTTCATAAGGTTTCACTTTGCCTTCTTTGAAGGCAGACTCATGTTTTGTGGTTTTTAAATTCGACTACTTATCATTGCATATCGCGCTTCCTCGTCTAGCTTGATCCATATGGGGCAAACGAGGTTACCCTAAAACGGGTTTTCTCTTGTCTTATAAAGTCTGATGCAAATAGCAAAGGAGGAGGGACAGTTTGTCAAATTCCACCGGTGCCATGACTTCAGGACTAACTTTAACGTGCAATAAGAGTGGAGTTTGGTTTGAGACACCAACTGTAGATACAGATATTTCCTCAGTTCATAATTCACAATTCCAGGGAGTCAATTCTTATCGTTTGTCTGTGTGTGGATGGATGGCAGTGTTCGAAGGCTTCTTTCAGTATC